TGTACACATACGAGACACCATTGGTGTATTGGCCTTGCGAAATCAAAAAACATATTAACTCTTGTCAAGGATCTAAAGTTCATACATCTTTCTAAGACCTTATAGAAGTAACTATAGTTGCTACACGTACACTATGGACTCAAAATGGCTGCCATTAACATTATTATGATTATTATGTCATGAATAATAATGAGATGGTGACACTAGCTATGTACACATGCACATGTACATGCATTTCTAAATAAATTTAATCATTTTTAATGAACATGTACAAAAATAATAAAAATATAATTAAAAGAATTTAAATAAAATAAATATAATAAAAATTTGTGGGCCTTTGGATTCATTTTATGGGCTATCACAAAAATTGATATACATGTAAGATGCCAATGTTTTATACGTACCATTGAATGGTAGTTATTATAATTACAGTATACAATAATAAATATGTATATCATTGCTACACTAAAATTATATTCATGGACATTATCATGGCATTATACAATGATGTCACAATCACACCACCACATCCACCAACATTTAGCATAAACACAACCACGTACAATTTTGATAAATGACTATAATTTTAACCCTATTAAAAAAGTGTCACAGTATAATGCTAAAATATTCAATTTTGTACGGTAACCATGATCATCACATTACCATTCATGAAATGTGAAATTATTGTTCTCATCACAACAACATGGCCCAAGCATATATACTGCAAAAAGGCATCAATAATGAATAAGAAAGTATTTTGGAGCAAATTAAAAATTCAATGAGAGTGCAAATTTCATTTGTACTTTCTGTACTATGAAAAAAATTGATTGAAAAAGAATATAAAATAAGACAAAGATGGAATCATAAAAACAAAGTGAGAGGTAGAGATAAGGAGGATGTCAATTGTCAGGACAGGAACAGCAGCAACAATGACTGATAATCAATAAATGATGTAGGAGTGTAGTGTGGAACACAACCTATGAGTAACATCTGAACTGTAAAAACGAACTTAATGAGGTGCATTAGTAGGAGTGCAAGTGTGTTAAATGAGACATACTCTTACCATCATCACGCTACAACTCAATCATACTACTATCACGCCACCTATAGTCTAATACTATAAAATTGGCTGTAGTTACAGCTCGGGCAACTTCATTCTCACATTTCTCAGTCATGTCTGTTCTCCTCATAGGATCCACTGGAATGGGAAAGAGCACCTTAGGGAACTACCTTCTGGATCCTGATGATAAACACATGTTTGACAACCAAACCTTTGCAACATCTACAGACAACAGGCCAATGACACAAGAAGTAAAATCTATATGTCAGAAGGTCCAAATTAATAATTGTAGAAATGAAAGTCTTGAAGTGATTGATACCCCGGGGTTGAATGAGGATGCTGAAAAAGATTTATCTCACATGATTGAGATCATAAGGAAGTTGAATAATTGTAAAGAAATCAAAGCTTGTATTCTTGTCGTTAAATTCAAAGCTAAAATCGACGTGCAGTACAAAGCAACACTGGAATACTACAGTAAGCTCCTGCCTGGTCTGTTTGAAAGGAATGTCATCATTGTAATGACTGACTATGCAACAGATGATAATTCAGTGAAACGGCGAGAAAGGCTGCGTATTGATGTCGAGCAAGTTAAACGTAACACAATATTGGAGCTTGACAAATGCACCAATAGCCAAATAACGTATTCACCACAAATATTCATGATCGACTGTCTGCCAAACAGTGATGAGATGGAGACTAGCCAAAATGAGCGTACAGCAATCCTTGAGCACATCTTTCAATTGCCACCAACAAAAGTTGAAAACCTACAAGTCGCAAAAACAGATTACGTCAAACAGAAAGATGCCAAAAAGTATGAGAAGCTGCAGGGAGAAATAGAGGGATATAAAGAAAGATTGAAAGAACAGTATAAGGATAGTGAAAAGGTTCTTGATGACACACATCAAAAAGGGATGAGAATTACTCAAGTAGAAAATGAAATACAAAATCTTGAGAAAAAGTTACGTGACAAAAATACACCAGAAAATATTGTGGCTGCACATTGGTCCATTAGTGAAGAAGGAAGAATGTTTCGATGGTTCACACGAGAGTTCAGCATCGAATCAGAGCATGAAATTACAAAATATACCACATGGACAAATGGATATTGCAAGTTTAAAGAGATTGTTCAAACATCCAAATTGGTCAAAGGAAAGGTTGGAGGGAGGTTCATGCGTGGAATTTATGCATCAGTTACTGCGCACACCGAAAAGAGAATGAAATATACAGAAGAAATTACAGATCTTCAACGACATTTAAAAATGCAAGAGGAGTTTCTCATAGAATTCAAAAAGGATCGGCAAAAATATCGAAATGATCATGTGAAAAAATCTCGTGAAATAGAATTGTTGGAAAAATGTATTGCTGAAAGGAATGATGATGCTGCAAAATGCCTCTCAGATCTCATGACAATGGAAGAAGCTATGTCAAGGCTGAATGATGAAGTAGCAAAGTAAAACTTTCATCTTTACAAAAATTGCTGTCTAAATGTTACTAAATGTAGTAACATATTGCTGCTTTGAATATTAATATTATTTTAGTATCAGATTAGTATCATATCATGTTAAAATGATTAAAGTTAGTTGATGTGCATTTTGTGAAATTATTAAAATGTCAATGAAAATAATTTGCTGTATGTGAACATGACATACTGTACATGTAGCAGTTAAGGCTGAAAAAAGAGGCATAAAAATATAATTTCTGTAAATTTCTAATCCAGTAAAATTGAAGTAATGGTAAAATTTCCAGATAGACAGTAACAATGGTTGTTCTACATGTACATGTAAATCTGAAGCATGGGCACCAATTAGAGATTATAAATGATGACAGACTACACCCTTTGTAGCAGCTCCACCCTCAAATAACGACTTAATTAATTATTCATTATCATTATTAATGAATATTAATTACCTTTTACAGTTTTAATTATGTATTGCTCCTTCAACATCTTCAATATATCATGTCATTATTCATGTGCATTACTTCATAACACAAACCAGGCCTGACTCTTATTACCTATAACTCAGTTCTAAAGATGCTTCACATCTACAAAACTCACTGTCACTCTGGTCCATTAGGAGTTCCGTATACTCCAGTTATACGTATACTTTACAACAATATCGGAAGTATTATCTAATTAATTGTTCATTATTGTTATTATCATGAATATTAATTACCTTTAACTGTTTTAATTATTACTGGTATTGCTCCTTCAACATCATCTTCAATATAATCATGGACGTAACACAAAACAGACCTCTCAATAACTATTTAATAACAATACCTTTTATAATTTTTATTTAAAATTGTACGGTTGACAATGTAATGTAACCATTAAAGCAATATTATTATGGTTAGTCCACTGGTAGTATAATTGGAATTGAATTTAGGAAGATTATAAAATAAATGAAAAAATGACATTGTATTCTGATGTTGCATAAAAAGTTTCTGATCAAAATTGAACATTTTACAAATTTTTAAAGTTCCCAAAAATCAGGCCAAAGACCCTGTACCATAGTACAGCAATTATGGTAGATGTATACTGTACATGCATGTCACGAAACATGTATTAATTGTTGTAAACATTATTAAAGTGTGCTGTGTTTCTGTTGCAATACTTACCTATTATATATTCATTGTAGTGAACTAAAAGAGAACGTGCTTCTTCTCAACATAACTCTGGAAGGCTCTTGTAGTTACTAGTTACTCTAGAGAATCC